TTGCGGGCTTTTGGCTGCTTTCAGGACAGGGACCCGTTGGGATAACAGACCCCGCTGCGCCATCTCAAAGCAACTACCCCTCTGCCGCGGCGCCATCCACCGGAAACGGACCCAACCTCACGAGCACTAATACTCTGAGTCGGCCACTCGCGGTCTACAGATTCGTGTTCTTCATAAGCTAAGCCTGACCCGTAGCTTCTAATCCAGCCTGGTCAAACAACAGCGGCGGCGCATCCCTTTCCCGCTATTTTAAAACTGGGTCCGGTCTCTCCCATGCCTTTGATATAACAGAACTTGCGGCGGCTGGCTGTGCCTACAGTCTGACCGCGCGGAGCAATAGCTGGCGTCTGTTACTCACCGCATCGGCCCCCTCCGGGTAACTAGGTGCTCCGCCATTCTGGTGTCCTCCTTCGTCCCGCTGTTGGAGGATGTCCTCCAAGCCTTCTTGGCCTCCGCCGCGCGATTGCTCGCGCTCTGCCATCACTTCGCTGTTACTGGAGACCGATATGCCAGCGACGTCAAATCGCCTTATCTACTTTACTATTGAGCTGGGTCCCGAATACAAAGTAAATCACTATTTAAACAATTCAAAATCCCCAACAGACGACGTTCTGACTTGCGCTTGCTTGCACGGTTGACTGGCGAACTAGCGTTGTCTGGATTCAGCGCTTTGTTCCCAGCTAATCTTTGTAACGCACTACCGTATCAGTCACTGTCCTCTGGCCAATTCCGGTCTGCTCCTCCCGCGCCGCACTTGCCGTACTACACTACAGGACGAGCACTTAATCAACATGCAGTATCCTAGTACGGCAGGTCCGTAATAGAGATTCGTCCGGCAGGTAGGCCGAGATATAAGCTACCCGCCCGGCCGGGCGGAGTGCTCTGGCCAGTCACTTCAGTGTTACGACTACTTGGTGATTGGAGTTCAAGACTCTGTTGCCGCCGTCTTCATTACTTCGTACTTGGTCTGTGTCTAGTGCCTGCCGCCGGGTTGGACTCCTTTCCACTCCTTTCCACAAAGACCATCAGCTCTACGCTTCCGCGAGGTCAGTCATGGATTCAGGTGAGCGACTGCTAGAAGTAAAGTCCTAACCATATCCATAACCGTTTATTTAGGTTGCCGTCGACGTCAGCTCGGCAGTTCTCCTCACCCAAATGGTGAGGAGCAGGAGGCGGAGGAGGCGGAGGAGGCGGCGGCGGTGGCGGAGGAGGCGGCGGCGGTGGCTGCAGCTGCTGCTGTGGCTGCTGCTGCAATGGCTGGACGACAAGGCCATCTTGATCGGCCGACAGTTCTTGGCTTCATAGTTTTCCATGAGGTTTCACTGATGATTTCTTGCCTGTCCTCCTTGTGCGAAGCCCCTTCTTGTTGTTGTTGTTGTTGTTGTTGTTGTTGTTACAAGGTCGTGGGTGCGTTCCCCCTACCTGCAAACCACCCTAATACGAGCTAGAGGGTAGGACAAACTGTCGGGCAGAGCAATTCTTTTGACTGCCCCGGTCGCACAATTCCCGTGCTTCCCTAATTCGACACCCTGAACACGCTGATTCTGACTGTCCGAATGTCCCTGCCAGGCCAATTCGACACCCTGTCAGCCTAATTCTGACTGTCGGAATGTCCCGCCAGGCTAATTCGGCACCCGGACAGGCCAATTCTGACTGTCGGAATGTCCCTGCCAGGCCAATTCATATCCCTGTCAGGCCAATTCAAGGGCCTGTCCCGGCAATTCAACTTGTCCCAGGTGTCAATTTAAACCCTTCTACCGAGCAATCTAGACCAATTGCAGGGTCTGCCCCCAAACTCTCAGGCACGCATTCAGAATCGCGGGAGTTGAAGGAACTTTACAAAACAAGGGGAGCACTTACAAATATCTCTCGTGTGTTTGTTGGTTTCAAATCCGTACATGCTTGTACTCCGTACTGCCGTACTCCGTACTCATTCACCCATACATTCATTGTGTGTGTATGTGTGAAAAGTTACCATCACCCGAACCGACCAGAACCAAAGGTGTGTCTGCATGGCAAGTCGCTCACAATTTTAACACCCGGTCTATTCATTCATTCCTTCGTTCAGACAAGCAGACATATCCACACGCCTCGTCTTGAACTGTGCTTCAGTCCTGCTAAGGGCCCCCGGCACTCGACCAGACTACATGTGTTCAAAAAGATACCACCACCCGAACCGAACCAAACCAGGGGCATGTTAACCACACCTTTCATTCGTCCATTCATTCATACATCCAATCATTCACGCAGACAAAGAAATGTAAGCACACGCGCCTGCCCTGCAGTAGTGTGGCCCGGCACAATGTAGCTGTAGTAGCTGGTACACAGTAAGCACAGTAAGCTGGTACACGCATAGCACGACCACCAGCATCTCGAGAGGCCTTTTCAGCGGCCAGCTACTAAATAATGCATGAATGTCACATAGAGGAAGGTAGCATAATACGAGCCGTCAACGATAGGACCATCACCGCCAACCGGACTGCGTGAACCTGTCTCCAGTGCGTCACGCAGCACACTGACTGCCTTGACGCTTCCAGTTGAGGGATCCATGTCGAGGTCGGCCAACCTGTCTGTCAGTGAATGGCGGTAAGTCAGCCACAAACCAGTCTGTACCTAATTCCAGGTTGGATAGAGCCTACTTGAGAGTGGCGCGCTGGTTCTGTTTGTCCTTGTAGTTGAGATCCTGGGACGAGATGTTGACATGGGGCATGCGCTTGCTCAGCGCGCGCAGTGCAGGGAAGCTGATGAGGTATGGCCCGATCATCATCATCTTCCGGGGGTTGATGAGCTGGCGCCTGCAGCACGTGTTACAGTGTCGACATTGCTGATCCTATTTGGTACCAGTCATTCGCCCGTGAACGCATGGCCATGCTCCTGGCTTTTAATGTACCCTACTGCAGGCCCGCGTACCTTAGGCGCCAGCCAATGTGCATTTGGTCAATAGTCAGCACGACGGGTTGGAGCACGGACACCCACGTCACTGCAAGGGGCAATGTAAAAAGCTAACTCCTCCGGCTGGCGTTGTTG